ACATTTTTTGTCATAAATAATGTTTCCACACTGATTTTATTGTTAATTATGTTAATCAACATTATTAAAAACATTCTTAACACTCCTCCACAAAACCCAATTTAATTAAAATAACCTGTACAATACACATTTTTGACTAAAATAAAAAACCACCACATTTTCATATAGTTTAAATCATGTTAGACATTTCCCATTAACTTATAACTATGGATAAGCTCCTTAACAAATCATCAAAAAATGTTCTACCACCATCATTTATAATGTTAATAAAGATTTATAAATTCATTGAGACCAATTTCGCCAGACTTTTACTTGAGAGATTTGTTTGTTAGATATGCACAAAGACTCTACCTAAGTGACATTCCAATCAAAAACAATTTTGATTCATACAAACACATTTTCAATAAACATACACGAATAAGTATATCGGAGAAGTCTTTGATAATAAGCGCTAATTAAAACAATGGTGATGTTCTTGACAAAAACTTGTTGATGACACCAAAGAATTTATTATGAAAAATTTCGCGATATTTGAAAAATTCAAAATGCAACACATTGGAAGGGGAGAGGCAACAACACAACAATGAAAAACAAGACAAAATGTCAGTGTGCCAGTGCTCTGGGAAGTATTGGAGCTGCTCATATTCTTTGCAAAAAGGATCTGCGACAAACTCGAGTAGTGAAGATGCCTCGGCACCTGCAAAAATACTGAAAAAATGACGAACCAATAAGACGGAGTGTCTGTTCAGAATCAATCTTAAAAACAGGGTGAATGGCAACACGTGGAACATCACTAAAATGATTCTACAACACAACCACTTATGAAAAGTATGTCGATTGTTCTATATATTTCTGTGTTTTAAATGCATTTTTTATTTCATTGATGGTTAACAGGTTTATGTATTTATTCTTTGGCGGACTAATCAAAACTAAAATCAGTTATGAGCAGGATCTTCAACAGGTTCAATGGTGTCTTCTATTTTCACATAATCGCCTTGTCCAACTTGGGTGTCTGGCTCGGGCACTTCAGTTGTGTTTGTAAGAGATGGTGGAATACCATTGTTGTTTTCTTCGTCTGTATTAAGTCCATTTGAAGGGAGAGAAGCATAATACAGCATTTCGTTTCTCTCTTTCTTCTTATCTTCTTCAATTTGTTCATTGCGGTAATAATCTTCGTAATCACTGGTGACAATTTTGTACTTCCGCGGAAACCAATTAAGTTCTCCAAGGATATTTACAATGGCTGGAAGTAATAACGATCTCACTACAAATGTATCCAATAACACACTGAACGTCAAAATGAACGCAAATTGGTTCAACATCAAAACATTACTTAAGAAGAGTCCAGAGAATGCAACAGCCATAATAATGCCAGCGTAAGAGATTAAGTACCCAGCTTTCTCAACACCAACAATGACACTCAATTTGGTCGATAAACCCTTTCTCCGAAATTCCATTATACGTGAAAACAAGAAAACATCATAGTCAGAAGAGAGTCCAATGATAATGGGGAATGTGATGACAGGAACAACCCAAAAAAGTCCACTAGACTCCGCCATGATATCTGCCGTCCAGTCAAAGTAATCATTACAAAACACAAAAGAAGCAAACCCGTATGTCCACAACACGGTTGTCACAGTAGAAAACACAACGCGCAAAGGAACAATAAGTGACTGAAAACTAATTCCAGTTATTATCAAAACAATGCCAAATAACACAATTACGATAATTGGGAAATATTTGAAACATACAACCATTGAATCTGATATATCCACTTCAAAACCTCTCACATACACATTATAATCCGTGTTGTATTGTGTCACATTGTTAATTATACCTCTCACAAAGTCTAAACGTTCACTGGATTGTTCTATAGGATTAAACAAAGGAATAAAAGTGCATCTGGTCGTCGTCTTATCTGGAGAAACACTCTTGTCAAAAAACCACTTGTACAAATCGTCGTTGTATAACCACTTCATCGCTCGTCCGGATATGGAATGACCATTAAAATAATTGATACAGGTGTACGATGTGTTTGAAAAGTAATCTGGATATTGAGTAAAGGAGTCCATTAAGTTAGTTGTCAACTTTTCATATTGTGTACTGAATACATCAATATCACTTTTTGTTGTTATGACAAGTTCGTATGGATATATAACACCTTCCGGATACTCGTTTAATATATAAGAGCGCGTTACCATTGAATCACTTGATGGTGGAATCAGCTCGTTGTCATTTTCGTTCCACGAAAAGTCTTTGATAAACACACAAAATGGAATTATCATGCAAATGACAACAACGATGACAATCAGTGAATACCACTTATTTGAAATAAACACTGCAAATTTGTGCCAAAGGGATTTCTTGCTGTCGTATGAGCATTCCTTGTTTTCAACCCACACACGACACTTTTGGATACATGGTATTAACCCTCGTCTTGCAAAAAACTTGGGGAAGATTGAGAGGATAGATGGTGTCAATGTCAGGTTTACAATAATAGTAATGAATATGGATATCGCAGCACTCATCCA